ATCTGCTGCTATTCTAATTGGTCTTCCCTGGTAGGTAGTCTGGCCTTTTTCTCTTGTTGCCTTTAGGATTTTTTCTTTTATAGCTACTTTGTTTAGGTGAATTATTATGTGTCTGGGAGTTGGTCTTCTCATTTGTTGTCTTGCAGGGCTTCTCTGAATCTCTTGTGTTTGAATTTTTTCATCCTTGATGAGATGAGGGAAGTTTTCTTGAATAGTTTCATGAAATGCTTGTTCCCGTGTGGCTTCTGTTTCTCTCTCTACCTCAGGAAGCCCAATTACTCTTAGGTTTGGTCTCTTGAAGTGATCGTTCATCTCTTCCAGGTTTTGTTTTGTCTTTTTGAGCTTCTTTTCTATGCTTTTGACAGTTTGGGTTAGTTCTGTGTTTTGGTCTTCGAGCTCTGAGGTTCTTTCTTCTGCTTGGCTAATTCTGCTTTTCATGCTTATTAGTCTGTTATTCATTTCCATCACAGTATTCTTTACTGCTGTTATTTCTTACATCAGCTCCTTTCTATTTTCCTCTTGTCTCTCCTCAATTTTTAAAATTCTCTCCATTAATGTCTTTATGTCTTCGTTTGTTGCATGTGACCAGTCATTCTGGGGGCTCTTCAATGTTTGTGTTCCAGAATCTGTTTTCTCGGTGTCTAATCTCCCAGGGGCATGTGTGAGACCTATGTTCTTCTTTTGGTTTTTCTTCATTTGTGTGGTTTTTCCCCCTCCCTACTTTTTCCTTCCCTCCACGTCACTGTCTTCTTTAATTCTGTTATTCAGGGGTAAAGGGATTGGTTTTACTTTTGTTTGTTTGATCTCCTATTCTTTATATATGCCCTCTTACTTTGTTCAATTCTGGAGATGCACTGTAGGTTGGGAGTGGTCCTTTTTGCATCTTGAGATTTACTTAAGGGGGGAGCTGTGATTCAAAATCTATCTGCAAGTTCTGGTATTTGCCGACAGGTGTGTGGATAATCTGAGACCCACTTCCCACTGCCTTGGAATCTGTCCGTGCAGTGGGGTGTAGGTTTACTCCCTGAAACAAAATGTGGTTAGCAGAGGGAAGAGAATGGAGCAGACATTGGGTTGAAGAGGGGGGTGGAGCGATAGAGGAGTGAGGGGGGAGACAAATGTTTGCCAACAAATGGAGAGAGAGACCTATACTGAAACAGATGAAAACAATAGACCATAGCTACTGACAAACCAACTCCCATACAAAAAAAAAATAAAACATATAGTGATGCTAACATACAAGCTAACCAACCACCTTATTGGTGTGCTGTTCCTCTATACAAAGATATGGTTTACAGAGAGAAGAAAAGAGAAGAAAAGGAAGAGTGCAAAAAAAGGAACAATATAATAGGAATAGAATTAAGTCATTAAACTAACAGAATCAATCAAGCACACTCTGAGACTTTTCGTTTAAGTCTAATGTCCTTTCAGTTCTGATTTCTAGCTTTCTTTTCAAGCAGGTCAATTAGTTTGCAGTTAGGGTCAGTTGCCCCTGGTCTGCTGTGAAAGACAGTTCAGATCACCCTCCGTTCACCACTCTGGCCTATGTCTTTTTCAAGCTTATTTCTCCCTTTTCGGTGTTGTTATCTTGAATCGCCAGCAGGTGGTGCTATCTCAGCTGCTCGCCCCAGAGGGGGTGGGGCCAGACAGGAGCCAGAGGGTCTGGAGATGGGTGCCTGCCTCAGGGCACAGGCAGAAGACTCATGTCCGGTAGGACGTCTCGGTCGCAGGAGAGGTGGCAGCGATCCCAGCAGATCTTCCCTGAAGGGGCTTCAAGGACTGAAGTTGTGGATCGCCTCCAGTCCAGGTGGTGCGATGTGCTTCCGGCAGCGGCGGTGGTGGCTGCTCTGGTGGTGGCGGTAGCGGCATCTTCGCTGCAGTGGCTGTCCAGTCCTCTGCGATGCCCCAGCGGTGGCACCGGCCAGGCTCCGTATGAAGAGCAGGATGCAATTTTGGGGGTCCGCAGCCCCCTGGGCGAGAGCCAGAGACCCACTGCAGTTCTCCTTTGCAGAGGGTTTCATGAACCAGGTTGCCCTGTCGACATCTTGCTGGGAGCGGCAAGACTTTGTTTGTTAAAATTATGATTCTTTTGCATTTTACCTTAGTGTGCAGTATGGAAGATAATCTGTCACCCATGGTGTGGAAGACTGATTTCATTGACTTCTTAGGAAATCCTACATGGGCTATCTTCTTTTTCTTGAGAAAGGGCAAATTATAGTTTAATAGTGACCACTGAGATATTAGGGAAGGAATGATGAAAGTAAGAAGTGTGTCTTACACTGTATGAAGTTAGACATCTTGTAGGGAAAGAATAATAAGTGTCTTATAAATGTGAACATTATGATTCATGTGAACAATAGATTCTATTTAAAAAGATATGCTGAATGGCATAAGAAGTGAACAAAAAGTACCATACGAATATAGAGAGAAAGTGGGATCTATGTCTTGAGAGGAGTGTAAGGACTTATTCATTGGACTAGCATTTATTGAGCATATGTCAGTTATCACAGAAATCTGGAATGTCCAATTGAAGTCAAAGTCAAATGGAGATAAAATTAGATTATTAGGGGAGTTTTAGACATGGCAAAACTAAGTTCTTGAGAAGGTATTTCAGGTAAAAGCAGAGTAAAACAAGGAGACATACTCAGGTTAATACCATGTTCAGAAAAATGTAAATAATTTAATTTAGGTGAAAGAAAACTTTGTGTAAAAGAGTAAGTGGTTCATGGGTCCAGACCATAGAGCTTGAGCAGGAGACAAAAAGTTTATTTTTTACCTTTCATAGTGAAGGACTACTAAAGGATTTTAACATAAGAGTTGAACATACACGTTCAAATATGGACTCAAAGACATTGAACTTAAAAGTGGCTCTTTAATGTCTAGAGAGGGAAAGATAGGAAACGGGGAGATAAGTAAGACATCAAGAATTTTGACTTTTATTTCAAATGGTTCCCTAAATTGTTTCTTGTCTGAATCTGGTTTCAGTGTTTTCATCTTCCTGGAGTGTTTTCTTATGATATATGAGGTTTTTATTGGCATATTTTTCCTCAGTCTCTTCCATTCTTCCTGAATGTGAAACTCCTCTGCAGGATTGTGAGAGCCTGTGTTGCTTAGTTTAGGCACAGGAGGTGGTTGTCTGGATTTGAATCCTGGCTTTATCACTTGTTGGATCTGTGGCCCTGGACAAATTATTTGACCTCAGTTCTTTAGTTTTTCTTGTATGTAAAATGGGAATAGTTTAATAATAATCTTGTAGAGTTGTTATGGGGATTTATGAAATAGTGCCCGTAAAGCACTTAGCAACAGTACCTGGCACACAATAAGAAATCAGGAAAAGTTAGCTATGTTTATTCATGTTTAACAGTACTTATTTTTATTGCTCTGAGCTGTCCCTGTTTCACCAGTTAGTCACGTTGCAATATTGGATAACATTTTGTCAAATGTTAATGTCTAGTAAATGATTTTTTACAATTAATACAGTCATCCCTCAGTGTCCTCGGGGATTGGTTTTAAAACTCCCATCTCCAGGCTACCAAAATTTGTGGGTGCTAAGGGCCCTGATATAAAATTTATGTTTGCATATGACCTATATACATCCTCCCAATAATATAATATTTTTGATCCTTGGTTGATTGAATCCAGAGATGTAGAGCCTGCAGATATGGAGGGCCAACTGTACCTTGAAGAAGTGTGTAAAAGCCTTTAACTCAGAGGCTTTAGAAAACTTTGCTCCCCTAGTAACCTCAGTGTTTTTTTTTTTTTTTTACATCCATTGATGCCATTTTTGTACTGAGAAAATGCTTTTTTTGGTAGCTTCTCTCCATCACTTTCCTGTTTTGGGTTTACAGGTGAGTTTCTGCTAAAATGTTGACAACCAGCAGACCATTAATACAGAAATTGCCTTAGACTTGTTTTGTTATGGAAAAGAGCTCTAACAAAATAGTTTCAAATACTTATTTTGGTTTCTGTTGTGGTAATAATATAAGTATTCTACATATATTAATTTCTTTAATCTTCACAACAATCCTCTTAGGAAGGTGTTAATATGGCGATTTTGTATATGAGAAAACGTCTCATCTATGGTTGTTTTTATATCTCAGAAAATATTCCAAGAATGGGAATCTGTGGTTTGAAATGGGAAATTTTATTTCTTATATAGAAAGTGACCTAAGATAGCCATTCATCTTTGCATCAGAAATGTGGGGTATTGCCAGGCGCAGTGGCTCTTACCTGTAATCTCACCCTTTGGGAGGCCGAAGGAGGAGGATTGCTTGAGCCCAGGAGTTTGAGAACTTGGGCAACGTGGCAAGACCTTGTCTCTAAAAAAAAAACAAAGTCAGCTGGGTGTGCTTATGTGTGCCTGTAGTCCCAGCTACTCGGGAGGCTGAGGTGGAAGGATTATCTGAGCCTACGAGCTTGAGGTGAGCGGTGACCCTGACCTCCAGGCTGTGTGACAGAGGACTCTGACTTGAGGAAAACAAAACAAAACAAAACAAAAATATGGAATATGTTCTGTATTTTGCATATTACTGCATTACAATTGAACTTCTTTTGAATAGAATGTCAGTACTCTGTAGTTAAATGAGTAATATATAGTGCATACTCAAAAATAATGGGGTCTAATACCTTTGAATATTAGTTAAGGAATTTATATATTTTTGTAATTGAAGCACATAGAATTGGCTTTAGGATTAGAATGTTCTTAATAAATTGCCTTTTTAAAAATTCAAGTCTATCTACTTTATGTTGAATAGGTCATAAATTGAAGAATCTGTTTTCAGCAGATGCAAAGCTTATAGGTTACAGATGATCTTTTCTGCTGATTCTGTAATTAAAATGTGATTTCATTTTAAATTATTAAAGACCCCAAAAGTCTGTAAGCTTAGAAAAATCAAGATTTGTTTCTATGGCTGATTAATTGTGCTATTTAATATTCTGTTGACATTGGTACTTGGGATATGGAAAAACTGACTATAAATCTATTGACATCAGTACAACATGCTTTATTTTCTCTAGCTGCAACAAAAAATCATTCCTCATCAAGACCAACTGATGGCAACAGCACTAGAGTGCATCTATAGCTGTGAACGAAATGACCAACTCTCTCTTTGCTATGACATATTAGAATGTCTGCCAGAAAGAGGATATGGGTAAGAATCCATAGACTGTCAATCTTACTGTATCTTTTTATTCTAACAGTTAAGTATCCCCAAATGTTCATCATAGAGAATTTTGGGAACGTGAAAAAAAAAATAAGGAAGAAAATAAAAGTGTCTGTGATCCTGTTGCCTAGAAATAAACTTTTCTTGTTAACCAGTATATGGGTGTTCTATATTTTGTTCTACTGTAACTATAAGTAAATTATATTAACCTTGATAATTAATTTTTCTTTTTTTTTTTTTTGAGTTGGAGTCTCACTCTGTCACCCAGACTGGAGTGCAGTGTCTGCTCCCAGCCACTGCAGCCTCGACCTGCTGGGCTCCGATGATCCGGCCGCCTCAACCTTCCAAGTAGCTAGAACTACAGGCGTGTGCTACCACGCCCGGCTAATTTTTGATTTATTGTAGAGATGAGATCTCGCCAGGTTGCCCAGATAGGTCTCGAGCCCGAGGGCTCAGACAATTCACTCACCTCAGCCTCTCAAAGCGCTGGGATTACATGCTGAGCCACCAAGCCTGGCCTGATAATTAATTTTTCATTGAAAAACAAAAATAATGCTACCGCCACCACCACAAAAATCACTTTTTGAAGTGGATAGGTAGTGATTTCTCTTTATTTAAAATTGTGTTTTTAATTAAGCATTTGTCATATTTATAGGGTATTTGTATTTATGCTGTTAATTATTTGTTTTTGACCCTTACCTATTGTAATTCCTTTAAGCAGTGATTTGTGAATATACGTAATTTTAAACTTTTATGTTTAAGTGAAAATGTAATATAATGAGCTTTGGGATTACTTAGTTTATGCAACTCAACGTTGTATTTTGTCTTTGAAAGTTAGGTAACAATTATTCAATTAATCCTCCTTTTAAATCTAGTACGTATGATAAATTTCACATCTGGAGAAGTGAATAACAATATGTGAAAGAACACAGTGAAAAACCAGATGGCCTGTTTCTTTCAGCCAAGTCACTTTACTTCTTTGGTCATCTATTTTCTCATTTGCAAAATTGTTCATATAGTCATTCATGGTACTGAAGTCAGGTGAAAGATTAATGAGAAGACGTTATTTGCGCATTACCAAAGTATTACCCTAACAACTTTTTTTTAAATTTCAAAGGTGAAATTTACTTTTGAGGTCTGACTGTTATTATCTTAACCAAGTTATAAAATGTGGTATCATGTAGTCAGACAACCTGACATTATGCGCCTTCTGATATGACACAGTATGAAGCACCTGGTATCATAGAAATATTCTGGGTAACTCCTTTGGGTCCCTTCCCACTGTGGGAGCCTTTCTGTCCTCTCAATAAACCCAGCTTTCTTAAAAAAAAAAAAAATTCTTGCCAAAATTATTTTCCCCCTGAGTCTATTCAATCCTTTAGGCTGAACTTCTAGTTTATGGTTAGTACACGGAATAGAAAGACAAGTTAAATAACACAATGAAGAAAGCAGTAAGACAAATACAGAATGGTGGACAAATCAACTAGTCTATTTGCTAGAAAACAAATTGTTGAGGGGTTGGGGAGGTGCTGTTCTAAAATAAAGGAGTCCAAAGGTATATGATCTTCTAATTTTTTAAATATAAAAAATGTATGAAGATAAAATCAGGGAACTTTAAGTTTTGTAATAAACCATTGTTTGCTGTCTGCTTTTCCTGCCCATGCATTCCTATCTTCAAAAGCACGTACTTTCACAGATAATTTTTCCTTCTTGTCTTTGCCCACCTCCTTTAAAATATTGTGCTCATTTTGTTATTTTTTGATTTTGTAATTTTAGATCATTATTAACTTCCTTTTTTGGAAGTCTTATTCCTTCTCCCATATTTACTTCCATGCCATTTTTTTCAATGTTTTGTAAATATTGTTTGCACAGATTATGTTTCCCTTTTTATATGACTTTCTGTTTTTCCTGGATTATGCATATTCCTTTTTTTGTTATATTCCTTGTTTCCATTTATCACCCTCGCACTTGTGACAGGCTGTAAAAATCCTTTTAGTGGTCAGAAATGTTTAATAATCTTTCATTTCCTTTCCTTTTCTCTCTCTTTCTCCTCTTCTTCTCTTCCTTTTGAATTGTCCTTCCTGGAATTGATGTAAGTGAGTTGTTCTCTATGTCTGCTGTACACCTGTTATCCTGGGACCTTTGTTTGCCTCTCTCCTGTGCTGCATATTGTATTTCTTGGATTCCATGTCTTCTTTTTCGTCATTTTGGTGGAACACAATTTCAAATAGCTTCCTGTCAAAGATTACATGGGAGGTATTTTTTAAAGTCTGTCACATGTCAGAAAAACATCATAATTACTCCCTTATACTTGGTAGAGAAGTTTGATTGTACATGGAATTGTAGATTTATAATCCTTATCCTGTGAATTTTGAAAGTATTGCTTTTATCCTTTCCTTCCAGTATTGTTGAGAAGTTCAGTGTCATTCTGAGTAATAGTGCTTCATGTGAATTTTTTCCCTTTTTTAGATTTCAAAATCTTCGCTTATAATGTAATGAAACAGCGTAAAAATCTTCTCTTCATTTATAATGGTATGAAATAGCATAAAGATGTGTTTTGTTGTGAGTCTGAAGTCATTATGTTGTTCATTGAATGGACTGATCTAGTCTGGAAATTCATAACCTTCAGACTTTTAGGGCATATTCTTATATTTTTTTTCCTTGATGAGCTTATTTGTACCCCCTTCTTTCCCTTCTTCCTTTGTTCCTTCCTCCATCCCTCAAACTCCTATTATTCAGAGCTATAAATTTGTTATTTAATGGTGGTTCTTTTTTTTTGTTTTTTGAGTTGGAGTCTCACTCGGTCGCCCAGACTGGAGTGCAGTGGCCGCTCCCGGCCACCGCAGCCTTGACCTGCTGGGCTCCGGCGTCAGCCTTCCGAGTAGCCGGAATTACAGGCATGCACTACAACGCCCGGCTGATTTTTTGATTTATTGTAGAGATGAAGTCTCGCTGCCCAGGTGGGTCTCGAACCCGTGGGCTCCGGCAATCCACTCACTTCAGCCTCCCAAAGGCGCGGGATTACAGACTGAGCCACTGAGCCCGGCTCTAATGGTGGTTCTTATATGTTTATGTATTTGTTCATTTCTCTTTTTATTCTATTTTTTCACCTTTTGGTCTTTTGTTAAATGATCTAGAAGATTTCTTCAGTTTTATCTTTTAATCCATCTTTTGAATTTTAAAATTTATTTTGACTTTTTAATTTAAATTTCAGGAACTTTTTTTTATTCACTTAAAAATGTATCCTTGTCTTGTTTTTTCAGATGCATAGATGTATATAATGTTCTCTCCATGTCCCCAACCTGACTCTGTTCTGTTCTCTCCATGTCCCCAACCTGACTCTTTTTTCTGATTTTTCATAGTCTGTTTATTTGTGTCTCTACCGTTAGGGCCTTTCCTTCATGTCTGCTAGCTCTTGACTATTAATTTATGTTCAAAGCACTAGAAAGCTGATTGGAAAACTTTGCATTTTTAGAGAGCAGGTTTTTTTCTGATGAACTTTACAATAACATGGTTGGGAGGATTTATATAGGTAATGTCCTAAGTATGTTCATACATTTTATTTTAAGTTAGTTTACTTAATGTGGAATTTTCTAATCTTCTTCCTGTTTAAATAAGTCTAGAGGTCAGCGTTGAAAGAGAATTGGGAGACCGGGTGCAGTGGCTCACGCCTATAATCCCAGCACTTTGGGAGGCTGACGTGAGAGGATTGCCTAAGCACAGGGTTTCAAGAGCAGCATGGGCAACCTGTCGGGACCTCTTCTCTACAATAAATCAAGAAAAAAAATTAGCCGGGTATGGTGGCACATGTCTGTAGTTCTAGCTACTTGGAAGACTGAGGTGGAAGGATCACCTGAGTTCAGCAGGTCGAAGCTGCAGTGGCCGTGAACATGCACCACTGCACTCCAGCCTGGGCGACAGAGTGAGAGTCCAACACAAAAAAAGAAAAAAGAAAAAGAAAGAGAATTGAGGCTCGAGTGCCTCGAATACTTCTACTTAGTTTGGAATGGTAGCTCTTCTCTACTATTTCCAGTTATCTAGTAGTTCTGAGTGCAGAGTACTATTCAGAGAATGAAGTTCCTTTGTTCTTCTAGTTGTGGGAGAGAGAATTGACTGGCTGTATGAGATACAGGTTGATGACTGGAGTGTGTGTGTGTGTGTTTGCGTGTGTCCAGTTTTGCTTATCATAAACCTCCAGGCAGTCCTGTATGAGATACAGGTTGGTGACTGGGTGTGTGTGTGTGTGTGTGTGTGTGTGTGTGTGTGTGTGTGTGTGTGTGTGTGTTCGCGTGTGTCCAGTTTTGCTTATTATAAACCTCCAGGCAGTCCTGTTTTTTTAGCACAGCCTTGACTTTCCGAAATATCTGTTGCTTCCAGTCCCTTGACTTTTCTTGCTTAAATACATATGTCTTGGCTTTCCCTTTTGCTTATAGTTGTATTGCAGATTTCTTTTTTTTTAAATTGGTGAGTCTGTTACCACTTAGTTTACATCTTCTGTGTTTTGTTTTTATCTCAGATCTGCTGCCATCTCTTCTGTAATTCTCTTGGTGTATTTTTTTCCTTTCTTCTTTCCTTCCTTTCATTATATTTTTATTGTTTAATTTACTATGTTTTAAGTGGGATTTTGGAATGGAGTAGAGATAAATGTTCAGGTTCAATTTGTCATATTTAATTGGAATGCTTTTAATTCTATTTCTGGAGTTCTATGATTCATGTTATCTTTTTTTGACAAGCGCAACCTTTTCATTATAGTACAGCTATAGTGAGATTGTCAGTCTTGTCTGTTTTGATTTTTGTGGTGGAGAGGAGGTGGTAGTCTTAGATTCTGACTACATACTGCGTTACAAAAATGTTGGTAGTTTGTAGATCTCAGTCATTCATCTCTCCCCATCAAGGTTCTTAGAAGGAATTGACCACAAAGAAGGAATTGAAACATTGGGCTTGTTCATGTTAACATAAAGCTAAATGGGGACTGGAGTAGTACATAATACTGCTCTTCCTCAGTCTAGGCTTGGGAACCTTCGTATAGTGAATGGTAAATCAGAATGGACTCAGCATCTGTTTATTGTTCAAATCTGTACAGGTGTGACTACAGCTTACCTCACTTCCTTAGTAAAGAGCAGCAGAATATAGCATGTATATCTTTGGGAATTGTAGGTGTCAGTAGGCAGCAGGTGGCAGGTAAAAGGGAGTGTATTAATAGATTTTTGTAGCAAAATGTTTCCATCATTCAAAAACCTCAACCCAGATGCTAGCAGGGCTTCAGTAGTCGAATTGCTCTTGCCCAGAAGGTGACAAAAGATGCCGAGGCTGTTCCTTGAGAACAGGAATGATGGGCAGTTTCTGCCTTAATGTGCCTGGTGGGAAACCTTATGGCTCCTCTCTCTACCTGATAACATTTCTTGTTCCTGAGTCAACTAGGCAAACCATTAACTTCCAGCTTATGTGTGTAATTAAAAAAAAAAAAAAAAAAAAAAGATTAGTCTCTGTTTTTCGGTGAGCTCAAATAGCCTAAATATTAATTAGAGCTTATCTATTAGTATTTACACAATAATTTGCCTACCATTAGGCGATTGTCATGGAATCAATAGAATGATAAATTAAAAGAACATTTTTTAATGTAGATGTTACAGCTAGTGTATCAGTATATTTGAAAATTAGTTTTTGAAGAGTGTGTAGGCTAAGAAATGCCTCTCATGTACACATGACCGAAGACTTTCCTTGGCTTCGGATGAATGGTTCCTGATCTAACTTTCTTTTTAATGTAACACAAAGAATGACTTGATATTTTCTTGTTGTTCCATTTATTTCTTAATGATTATATTTCACATTTCTAATTTTCTAAATAACTTGCAATTATACATTAGCCTAGTATTAAATTATAGGGCTCAAAATACTTTCTATGGTTCTTTTTGTTCTTCATGCCAAGTTTGTCAATTTGTATTCTCCTAGTGATTAGTTGTTTAGCTTCAGTGGTTAGAGTAGTTGTTATCCACTAAACTGTAAATTATAAATACATATTTTTCTGTTTAAGAAATGGACACCGATTTAATCTAATTACATTTTTGTGCATCTTACCTAGGCATCATGTGTCATCTAGCTGAAAAAATCTGTAGCCATTATGTTTGTGAATGTCAGTTCACAAAGGAAGAACACTGTAATTTTTAATATATATGACAAATGTTTATTATAGAGTTGTAAAATGGTCATTTACAAAAATACTGCTGAGTGAATATGTTAAGGGAATTTAGCTGCAATGAATGATCTTCTGAAGGACTTTAAGTAGAATGTACCAAACTCGTCACTGTAGTCCAAAACCTAAAACTCGGTTTAAAAAGATAGTGTAATATTCGTAAATTGCACTGAATAATTGTCAATAGATTTAGACTAGGCAGATTGATAGTTTTAAAAATAATAAGGATTTGATGTTCAGGTTAGGACATTTAAATATATTTTCCAAATCCAAACATAGATTGTCCTTGGGGCACATTCTTAATAAAATCCTAGATCTTGCTGGAATGCAGATGGAGCATCGCTCAGAAGGCACCTGAGAGTGCTGGGTTCAGTGATTCTCAGTGGAGAGTAGAGTTGTCTAGGGTGAAGTGGGCCTATAGCAGTTTTGTGCTTTTCTGCCATGGCCCTGTGTTTATTTGCACATATGTTGTGTCATACTTAATGTACCACATTTTCATTAGTTTATGATCTTTCTTATGATAATGTTTCTCCTAGTCTTCTGTTAACTGACTTCCTCAGAAAAGTTTTGCTTTGTATGTTTACTACCTGCTAGGGATTATCTATTTGATGAATCTCCTCCCTGGTTCCTTAATATTGGATTGGCTATGATTCCCTTGATGCAGAGGGATGATATGGAAGAACTCTCCTGATTACTTAGAATTTTAATGGAAACTTCCTGGGGGGTGGGGCTCCCTAGGTTGTGTATACAGGCTTAGAAGAAAGCTAACTAGGCAATGCTGCTTCTTAATCTGTTTTATTTTTTTCAGCTGGTAAAGGGTGCTTTTACCCTTTACTTCTTCTTTAAAAAATTGATTTATAGTTTGTCTTTTTTTTGACCTTTAAGCAGAACTGAACCAAAAGTACTCTAGAAAATAACTTGCTTACAACTGACTAATCTGTAACAGATAATATTGTTCTGACTCTGATATTTCTTATCTTATTCTCTTGAGCCATGAAATATGCAGTCAATTCAGGAGATAAGTCTGAAATTTTACAAGGACAGTGTAGTATTGTTATATGTTACATATTGTTACATATAAGAAACATCTTTCCTTTTTTCCCCCTACTTAATTGAGTTTTATATTCTATTTTAAAAGCCAATACTGAAACTTGTTTAATTTTTTTTTTAATTCATTAGTGATAAGACAGAGAAGACTACAACTCTTCATGACATGGTCGACCAACTGGAACAAATTCTCAGGTGAGAAAAATGACAATTTTTTGACTCTGTGCTTATTAAGGAGCTTTGTCCAAGAAATGGTGACCTTAAGTCTGTTTGTTAGTCATTGTTTCTAGTTTGACCTCATATTTGTTTGACTGGCTTGGGAGTGAACTTTTTCCATAACAAATGCACTGCTACCTTAATATAGCAAAATGGTAGAATAATAAGGACATGGTCTTTGAAGACATAAACCTTTGTTCTAATTTTGGCTTTCCACTTGCTAGCTGCATGATCTTTGAGCCTAGGGTTTTCTTAGCTATAATATCTAACTTATGGTATTATAGAATAAATCACGTAAAGTGTCTGTCACATAGTAGGCACATAAGAAATGTTAGTTTCTGCAGCATTTATTGCCTCTTGACCAGCAAGCAATGTTTACTATACTACCAACTTTCCTTTTTAGGGCGCGATACGTTTGGTTGACTATTTGGATTATGTCAAACTGCACTAGAGCCTTCATATAACTCTGCAGCAATATTTTTGACTGTCAAAATTAAATGTTAAACTGGCTTTCTTAGGGATTGGAATATTCTTAATTTTCTATTTAGGAAATCTAATATTGTTTACTACTATTTATTTTAACGTTTATATAAATATGAGCACGTAACTTTTAAATATTCAAAGTAAAATTTGCTGGACCCAGTGTCTCACATATGTAATCCTAGCACTTTGGGAGGCTGAGGTTGGAGGATTGCTTGAGCCTAGAAGTTCGAGATCAACCTGAACAACATAGTAAGAACTCATCTGTACAAGTCAGAAAAAATTAGCTGGGCTTGGTGACAAGCACCTGTAGTCCTAGCTACTCAGAAGCCTGAGGCCGAAGGATCGAATGAGCCTAGAAGATTGAGGCTGCAGTGAGCTGTGATCATACCACTGCACTCCAGCCTAGGCACAGAGTGAGACTCTGACTAAAAAAATAAAGTTTTATAAGAATACTATACTTATATATTTCTAATATATAAATATGGAAATTATAATTGATAATATCACTTAGTAATGATATTAATAGTATATATATTGAAGTATAATAATTTGGAGTCCAGCAATTAAGCTTTTATTCATTCAAATGAAAAGATTTTGGTTTAGAAATATTTCAAGTTGCATTTAAAAGAGCAGAATGTTTTTGTGTACCATAATGAATCAGTTTAATGGTTAATTAACTGTTTAGTTTCCTCTAGGCCTGAATTTATTATTATTTAGCCTGATTCTTGTTACTCTATGTTCTGAAAGTTATACAGTTGCATTTCTTGAAAAATTGAATCAATCTTATATGAATTAATCTCTTATAGCTTTGCTTGTGCCTCTCCTCCCCCTATCCTCCCTGAAAAATTCTGTGTAGTTTGACTAATGCTTGGTGGGTTCAGTCAATATAGATTCATTTCTTATCAGTCTTCATAGTTTCCCTAATAAAACTGAGAAGAGGTAGCTCAAAGAGATTCAGTGAAATAAACATTATTTATTTTACCACATGTTCATGGTTGTACTATAGATGGTCCTGATAGTTACATTATATTATCAGTACCCAAAGGAAACAGCAACACCCCACAGGTTTCTAGATGATGCTTAGGTCTTTCATGATACAGCTTAATTTACTGACCTTTCACAATAAGAACTTTTTATTCCTGTTTTTCTAAATAGCCCCAAATACTTGATAAATGCTTTAGTGTACATTAATGCCAGGTGACCTGACCCATGAAACCTATTTTTATGAAGAATTATTGAATTTTATTCAGTCCAGTCCCTCTATTCAGCCCAGTAACAGTCAGTTAATAAATGTGAGATTTTGTGAGTCAGACCAGGTGCAATGATGATATGGAATGGGATACCTCAAGAAGATTCCCATGAGACCCAGAGAATTTGTGACATGTCTTATCTGTTTATAGAATGAATTCTTGATGGAGATTGAATCCTATGATCTTTTATGGGGTCTTCTAATTCTAAAATTCTTCATTTATTGCTTTTCTAGCAACCTTGTCTTTAACAAAATACTCAAAAAGATTATTAAGCGTTAAATTTGTACTGAAAATATTGATTTGGCTTATTTTACTGACATGATGCCTTTAGATTACAGGGAAGTTCAAAAAAGATTTTGAGGTATAGATATGTCATGCTTTCTTAGCCCAAGTACATTCTAATAAAAGTCATTGAGAAAAATAAGATTTGTTATATAATTATTAATTTTTTTCTTGCTGAGAATGTTATATGTAAAATTGGGACATTCTGTGTGGTACTTTAAAAAAAATACTGAACACTAAGGTTCTACCTTTATGCTTAAGATTCTCAGACTCTTTTTGTTTGGTAACAAGACTTTAAATAATTCTATTTTCACTTTATAGCGTGTCAGAGCTTTTGGAAAAACATGGACTTGAGAAACCGATTTCATTTGTTAAAAACACTCAGTCTAGCACAGAAGAGGCACGCAGGCTGATGGTTAGATTGACTAGGCACACCGGTCGAAAGTGAGTAATAAACAAAATTAATTGGTAATGCATATGACTTTTAAAAAGTATTGCTCTTTTTCTTTCCTTGATAACTTTATTGAGTTATAATTGACTATAAATCATAAATAAACTGCACATACTTAAAGTGTAAGTACAGTTTGATAAGTTTTGATATGTATATATAACCTTGAGACCATCTTTACATTCAAGATATGAACATATACCTGTTACCCCTAAACATTTTCTCTAATGCCTTTAAAATTTTCTCCTCCCTATACTCCCACATCACAGCTACCACTAATCTATTTTCTGTCCCTTTGTATATTATTTTTAATTTCCTAGAGTTTTGTGTAAATGAATCACACAGTATGAGATTCCTTTGTTTGTTTGGCTTCTTTCACTCAGCATAGTTTTTTTGCGATTCATCCATAGTTTATTTCTTTTTATCTGCTAGATAGTATTTAATTGCACAGATTTTTCACACTTTATTCATCCACTCCTCTGACGTTTGGGTTATTTTGTGTTTTGGCTTTTACAAATAAGATTGCTTTGAACGTTCATGTACACATCTTTGTGTGAACGTATACTTTCATTTCTCTTGGATAAATACCTAAGGATGGAATGGCAAGATCATAGGCTAGGTGGATGGTTCACTTTTTAAAAACTGCCAAGCTGTGTTCCAAAGTATTTATATCATTTTACTTTCTAATCAGTCTTGTGGGAGAGTTACAGTTGCTCTACAGCCTCATCAACATTTGCTGTGATCAATGTTTAAAGTTTAGTTATTTGAATAGGTACATACTGGTATCCAATTTTGGTTTTAATTGCATTTCTCTAATGAGTGATAATGCTGAACATCCTTTCATATGTTCATTTGCCATCCATATGTCTCTTTGCCTATTTTAAAAATTGAGTTATTTTTCCTTTTATTGAATTTTGAGAGTTTCCTTATATATTCAGGATTCTGGTCCTATATTGAATATATGCTTTGCAAAGATTTTCTCCCATTTGTGCCCTGTCTTTTCATTCTTTTACTTGTGTCTCTTAAAGAACATATTTAAAACATTTTAAAAAATCAATTTGTTCTTATTGTGCTTTTGGTAGCATAGCTAAGAAATCCTGGCCACAGAGTTTTTCTCCTACCATTTCTAGCAAAATTTTCCAGTGTACAACTTAGCATTTAAATCCATAACCCATTTTGAGAGGTCATTGTTGTTTATTGCTCAAAGTATAGATCAAAAAACTGTTTTCACATCTAACTATTCCAGCACCATTTGTTGAAAAGACTGTCCTTTCTTTACTGAATTGCCATTGCAACTTTGCTGAAAATCAGTTATCTATGTATGTGGGGCCTATTTTTCGATTTTCATTCTTTTTCTTTGATCAACTTGTCTTTCCTCCAGTACCATATTGTGTTGATCATTGTAGATTTTTATTAAGTCTTGAAATTAGGTAATATTAGTCTCCCAACTTTGTTTTTCTTTTCCAAAGTTGTTTTGGTTATTATAGGGCCTTTGCAATTCCTTATGAATTTTAGAATTAACTTGTCAATTTCTGTCATTGGAATTTTGATAGGGATTACATCAAATCTATAGATTAATTGGAGAGTATTACTATCCTGCATCAATATTAAGTCTTCTGGCCTGGTGCCGTGGCTCATACCTGCAATCTCAACACTTTGAAAGGCCAAGTTGGGAGGATCATTTGAGGCCAGGAGTTTGAGACCAGCCTTGGCAACATAGCAAGACCTTGTCCCTACAAAAAGTTAACAGTACTTGGTGGCTCATGCCACTTGTCCTAGCTGCTTGGAAGGCTGAGGTGGAAGAATTGCTCGAGCCCAGAAGTTTGAGATTATAGTGAGCTATGATCATGGTACTACACTCAACCTGAGCCATAGAGCAAGACCTTGCCTCCAAAAAGAAAAAAAAGAAAAAAAAAAAGAAAAAATTTAAAAAATATTGTTTTCCAATCTATGAATGCAAGATGTCTTTTCATTTACCTAGGTGTTTAATTTCTTTCAGTGATCTTAGAGTTTTTAGTGTGCTAGTCTTGCACTTATTTTATTAAATTATTCCAAGTATTTTTTTTATTTAGTGTTATGTTATGTGGAACTGCTTTCTTGATTTTCTTTTCAGATTGTTTATTCCTAGCATGTAGAAATACAATTGATTTTTTTATTTATTGATCTTGTGTTCATTAACCTTGCCGATTCATTTATTAGTTCTAATAGTTTTTCTTTGCAAACTTCATGGGATTTTCTGTATACCAGATCGTGTTATCTTGAATAGAGACAGCTTTACTTCTTCCTTTCTAATCTGGATGCCTTTTGTTTATTTTTTCTATCACTTTATTTTTGTTATCATTAGCATAGTATATAACTTGCCATGTAGTATAGTATAGATCTTTTCCCCTTTAGCATGGTATACCTTTTATCTTTAATTGATTTGTATCTTTTGTGGTTGAAGTGTGTTTTCTTGATAGTATGTTAGTTTGGTCTTTATGTGAAGAGCTGTTAAAGAGAGCCGAGGCCGGGTGTGGTGGTTCAAGCCTGTAATCTCAGCACTCTGGGAGGCTGAGGCGAGAGGAATGCCTAGGCCTGCAGGTTTGTGACCAGCCTGGGGAACATGGTGAGACCTCGTCTCTACAATAAATCAAAAAATTAGCCAGGATTGGTAGTGTGCACCTGTAGTTTCGGCTACTTGGAAGGCTGAGGCAGAAGGATCACCAGAGCCCAGCAGCTTGAGGCTGGGGTGACCGTGAGTGTGTTACTGCACTCCAGCCTGGGTGACAGAGTGAAACTCCAACTCAAAAAAAAAAACCGAGCTGCCAGGTGTTGGGGTTGTCCATTAAAATAACAAACCACAATAAAAGTAGCAATTCAGTCTTTATTCATTTATTACTGTAATATAAGCAAGAGGCCATTCTGTTTTTCCCAGTCTTCTATTTTTTCCCACCAGAATTTCCCATCAGTCAAGGGTTAGATGTATCAGTGCAGATGGGAGAATTTTTTCACTTTTGATGGAACACTTAACAAAAGACTGCCATTTTATGGGGGAAAAGACTAAGGGATTGGCTAAGAATAGAAAAGTACTGGTCGATGTGGAAAACAATGTCTTCAAGATTTCCTTCCTTTCTCTGTCTGCCAGAAGCTTGTCAGAAGCTTCTGGAGAAAGCCTTGACCAAGGCTCTCAATAAAAAGTTTTCCTAACGGAGATGCCTGGACTAGGCATATAGAATGTGTAAGAACATGGCCAGCCAGAGGTGCCTGTGTCTTTTTGCTTCCTAGTGCCTTCAGATGCTGCAGTCACTGACTGTGCATCAAGTCTGGTATGAAGGGAAATGTTTTCACATGAGACCTACCAGGTGAAGTCTTTGTAATTATAATACCTGTGGTTGAACCAGAAAGATCACACATAGGTGTTTGGCCAGAAATCAGCCTTTCTTTTTCAGGTAATCTGACATTCTTTGCCTTTAATTTTGGTAGTTAGATCATTTATGTTTAATTTGATTTTGATATGATTAGTTTTGTGTCTGTCATATCGATTTGTTTTATGTTTGTTCTTTGTATTTGTTTTATGTTTGTTCTTTGTAGTTTATCCTTTTGCCTTCTTTTGCATTCTTTTATTATTTCTTTTTATTCTATATTATCTCCTTTGTTGCTTACCAGTTACAACTATGTGTTTTGTCATTCCCATGATTGTTTAGGGCTTGTAGTATACATCTTTAACTTATTGTAGTCTACCTTCCTGTGATATTGTATTTCTTCCTCTGCAATATGAGATGTTCTCAGCAGTATATTCCCATTTTTCCTCTGCCAGATTATTTGGTATAGTTGTCATATATTTTATTTTTATGTGTGTTAAAAACCCCACTCTACATTGTTGTTATTACTTTCAACCAATTGTCTTTTAATGTGGCATAAACAATATAAAAATGTGTTGTTTGTTTAACCATATAGTTATCATTTCTGGTACTTTTCATTTTTGTGTGTAGAGCTATATTTCCATCTGGCAACATTTTTTTTTTGTCTGAAAGACTTTGCTTAATGTTTTTATAGTGCTAGCACGCCAGTGATTAATTTGTTTGTCTTTGTTTAAAAAAGTCTTTATTTCACATTTTCCTTTGAAGAATATATTTGCTTAGTATGGAATTCAAATTTGACAATTTTTTTAGTACACTATAGTGCATAAATTGCTTCTGTCTCCTTGCATGCATTTTTTTCCACAGAGAAATCTGTCAACCTTATTCTGTTTTCGATGTATTTATCATGTTTTTTATTGCTTTTATGACTTTCTTTTTATGACATCAGTTTAAAATTGATGTTTTGTGGTATAGTTTTCTTCAGAAAGCATCTTGAATCTTTGGGTTTATAGTTTCCATCAAATTTGGAAAATTTTTTCTTATTGCTCCTTCTTATTCTCTGTCCCTCTCCTGTCAGGATTCCAATTATACATTTTTGGGGAACTTTGAAGTTTTCTCCCAGCTCCCTAATGTTGTGCTTTTTGTTTAGTTGTTTGTTTTAATTTTCTTACATCTTTGTGTTTAATTTTTGATAGTTTATATTGCTGTTCTTTAAAGTTTACTAACTTTTTTCCCTCTAATGTATAAGCAGTTTGTATATTCAGTACATTTTTAATCTAAGAATTTTTTTTCATGTCCAAGAGTTCAATTTTGGTATTTATTATAACTTTTATGCCTCATTAAATTTGAACATGTTATGCATATACAATACATTTTTAAACATTCTTTTCTGTTTTTCTGATGTTAGTGTTTGCTTTTTCTAATATTTTCTCTGCTTTTTTTTTTAAACATCTCTCTAAATCTTTGTCACCCATCTAATATCTGGGTAGGTTTTGAATGATTTTTTTCACTTCATTATCTGTTATATTTTTCTGTTTCTTTAAGTGCAAAATAATTTATTAATATTATATATTATTATTATTTACCATTTCTTGTACTAGAGAGTATGAGTTTTTTCTTCTTGTATGCTGGGTTTTTTATATTTATAGCTTTTTTTT